CGATTTAGTCTCGGCACCCACTATGGCGGACTTTAAGACCCGCCTGGACTGTCATCTGGCCGGGTTACACCGCGATATTCCCTAATTTAACTACATTCTACTGGATGGAATTTCTTTCCTTTTCTTTTACCTACTTCCTTTCCAAAGCCGTTTCGGAGGGCGTGGTGGGATGTCACGCTTTGAGCCGGCGTGCATTCTGTTTAAATGCCGCATAAGCCCGATGAAGATACGGCTAACACGCGAGTCCAACCCGCTATAAGGTTGCTTGGCCTTTCATTAGACCCGACCCGAACTCTTTTTACCCTATGTGTTATGTAAACCTCGAGTTTTTATTCCCAATGTTCCATCCATTATTTGCTCGCTATCATCGAGACAAATTTCTATAGCGGACGACCCTGACTCCGTGGTTCGGAACTTTGGAAAAAGCGCACTCTTGCCGTTTCTGTCATTAAATTTACTTTGAGGGATACTACTGCTTGCCTCTTGTGTACCGTTCTTCATTTGGCAAAGGCGGATTTACTGTATTTGCCTTGTATTGAAACATTGTTATTGTCAACACTGAGGTGAATACTTGATCAGTCCATCTCCGTGTGATCTAAACAAAGCTAAGAAGGGCCCACTTTATTGGAATCTGTCCTGTCGCTTATCTTCGCGTCAAAAATATTGCTGGAAACTTACTTTTGACGAAATTTTCTGCGAGTAAACTTGGTCTTTTTTCCGTTGTTCACTGAGTCCTTTATCATTACCTGTTTTCTGCACGATAGCCAGTTGTTTGTGACGCTGTCCTCTATACAAGGTGTACGCGCCTTGACCCTGAATGTTTGCTTAGGGCATTAAGGTTTTCTGGTAAGTCGCTCTTCTCTCCCTCTTATTATTATTTACTATTATTTCATACGTCATCATGGTTGTATGGCAGCGAAGCATCGGTTCAAATGGCTGATGTACTGCTGTTGATGATGGTCCCCCTACTTGAAGACCCGTTTTATATGTTTGCTGAGGACTTGAAGCTTGTCAGCAGGGGAGACAGGGCTTCGTTATGTAGAGATTTCGCTACCGTTTTTAATTGGTCACATAGATGTCAACTCCTAACCCCGCGTGATGTAAAGTCTACTGTGCATACATCTAATGGGTTCCTACCACTGCAGCGTGTCACGGAGACACGTGATCTAGGTGTCATCTTGACGGGTCTTTAAGCCCTCGGCACAGTGTAGACGTGCGGCTAATAGAGAGCGACATGAGTTGTTTCGTCTCAGGAGGGTTCTGAGTTCTACCAAGCCGGAGGTCTTTCTTCCCTTGTTCAAAGCTGTGGTCAGACCACATCTGGGATACTGTGTTCAGGCATGGGCACTCTACCTGCAGAAATGTACTATCTATATTGTGAATGTACAGACTGGCAACATGTATGATAGAAGGCCAGCAAGGGTTACCGTATGAAGATCGGTTAGCTAACTTGGCTTTGTTCTCCATGAGAAGACGCATATTCAGTTTTGACTTAATAGAGACGTTTAAGGTCATGAAAGGTCTCAGTGGTCTCACGCTCACCTATCTGTTTGAACCAGCTACATCAGACAACTTGCGGGGTCATTGCATGGAATTGAAGCAGCATAGATCTAGGCTGGAGTTAAGAGCCAGGTTCTTTGCAAACCGGGTTGTGCCTGTTTGGAGTAAACTTCCTTCTGCTCTATTAGCATGCGAAACTGGGGAGGAATTTAAACGTAGCCTAAACACAAATTAGCTGGCCATGTTTTCCGAATTTCCTTGAGCTTCAGTGACTGCCCCTTATCTCATTCTTACATGATAGTGTGTTTTTCGTCTTGCAGTTGCTTCTGTCTTTTCACCATTATGGAATCAAGAATATTCTATCAAGTCGCAGTGCTAGGGGCTCTTTCTCGCTTACTAGCACAAGAAACGAGTCACTCGTTAAGCAGCAGCTTGTTTTATTCCTGGATCCCGTCCTGTCCTGTACTGCTCAGGTCTTAAACGATGTCACTGCACTGGAAGCTCATTCGGGGTGATTTGTTCCTTACGTCTGCTCTATCTTGACTCTTTCATCTCTCCCGAGTGATAACCCTTCTGCGCTACTGTAAACTGGCGTAAGCCCCCATCTGATCGTCTTCGCACTGATCTTCGTTTGTCGCAGGGTTGTCACTTATTTTAGTGCGCAACCCAAGGACTTGGTCTTAGCACCAACCTTGGAGTTCGAACGTCTAGTTGCCGTCCTTAGGTTGCAAATTTTTTTTACCTTACACTTTGGTTTCTAGCTTTGACAAGTCCATGACCAACCAAGCGGCCAAGCCCAGTTCATCGACTTCTATTTGGAGCCCTCCATCATCCTTCAGATTCGCATACCTCAATCTACACACATTGCTACAAATCGGTCAACAGGCAGCACTTTCCCGAACATCAGAGACCCTCTCAATCAATATCTCCTACTTATCGAAGACTCGCCTCCGTCGCAACGAGACTGGACCTTAACGTGGTGCGACGGTTTGCGTACCTCATTGACCTATTGAGCTATACTGGGTGATGCCTCCGGGCACCTTGAGAGCTACTCCTACCAGGTTGGTCAATGGTGAGAGGTCAGGCAAACTCAGTCTCCTGGTCCTCCAGGTTGGGGGTTTGAAATGGGATGGCGTCCATTTCTGTACAACTAAATCATTGCCACCTCCCCGCTGCCTTGCGGACAGGCTTTTGAGCCAAAGGCTTTGAATGAGGACCCTAATCGTCCTCCTGTCTAGGTCTGGGTGCCCTGGCAGTATCTTAGCCCACATACAATCATGACATTTTTCTTCAAACATAAACTTCATGCTGCATCGGCCGTCGCGCAGATTATCAAGAGTCGCCTTATCTGCTGCATACAGCAGGGTGGATAAACGAAAACATGCTACTGCTGGCGCCTCCTTTCTTTTCCACCTTTTTCTCTTACTCCCATCCCGATCCCCATTACTAACCTTCCTTCTACAATTCCCAGCTTAATTGACAGCAACCGAAATGCCACTGGAGTAGAACCATCTGCAGCCACCATCCCACAGCACCTATCAGACGCCTATAGGCAAAAGTCCCTTATAAGGCCACGCTATCCCGTTTCCATGGCGGCATTCAATGTTCGCACTCTAAGACAAACAGGTCAACAGGCTGCGTTCGCACGTACCTTGGACACACTGGGTATTGATGTGGGTTGTGTGTCCGAAACTAGGATCAATGACTCTAACGGGGTTATTGAATTAACTGCGCCCGGCTTATTCTCTCGTTATTGGTTGCACGCATCCGGAGACCCCGATGCAGCACGCACGGGTCAAGCTGGTGTAGGTATCATTTTAAGCTCCAAGGCTGAGTCATCGTTAGTTGATTGGATTCCGGTGAACAGCCGTTTATGTGCAGCCAGTTTGACGACATCAGCTAAGGTTGATTCACGAAGTAGTACAAAACGCTGTTTGTTCGTGATTTCTGCTTATGCTCCCACCGACTGCAGTTCAAATGCTATCAAGGACACATTCTATCACGAACTGAATGCGCTATTACGCAGTGCTACTAGTTCAGATATTATAGTACTTGCAGGGGATATGAACGCACAAGTAGGGCGTCTGAGCTCTTCAGAAGCTCAGCTGGGTGGTAAATATGGGCTTAACTCCGAACGGACTGACAACGGTGAGCGTCTGCTGCAACTATGTGCGGAGCACCAGTTGTTTCTTAGTAGCACTGCTTTTAGACACAGTGGGCGCCGAAGTGCCACTTGGCTCCCTCCTGTAGCTGACCAGCGATGGACCCAAATTGACCACATTGCCATAAGTTACCGATGGCGTGGTTCCATCCTGGATTGCCGCTCATACTGGAGTACCTGCGTCGACTCTGATCATGCCTTGGTACGCTGTCGTTTCTCCATGAACTTTACCGGGCGGCGCGCCAAGCGTCCCCTACGATTGGCAACTGAGAAATTGTCTCAGTTTTCAGTCAAGCAAGCCTGTTGGGGTTCCACTTGTTGGATTTCGGTAACGCCTTTTGGTTGCGGAGTTCCTGGTTTAATAACCCGTCATTCTCGGATGCCAAAAGGGATTGAATACGTGTATTCCCATAAATGTATATTTGGAGCTCCCAGATGTTATACACGAGGCAGTCTAGAGTCAGCCGGCTATTCAAAAAGGAAAATTGATCGATGTATGAAGCGTTTGAAAGAATAGTCGATACAGCTGGCAATATTATCAGCTGACCGGAAGGTTATGTGAGGAAAGCTGAAAGAAACACTACATACCTCCCCACCAGTGCGCTAGTCGCACGATGTTCAAGCGACCAGGAGTAAAAAACCCGGTGGGAATAGCCGGTAAAAACTGACCTCTACCTGGTACAGTGTCGCATGAAATACCCGAGGCTGCGGTATGGGAGGCATGCAGGCTAATATTCTGTGTGTAAGGTACAATGAAAGATTTGGGAGCAGTGCAGGATGGTAAATGCACGGATGTTAGATTTGCCTAGACTGGAAAATCCGCTTCTTCCTCGTGCGAGATGTTCAGTTGCATTCTGGCGGAATCTGGAGAAAAACAAACAGGAGGAGACTGGCAGCAAGCGGTACTAGCAAGTGATCAGCAGAACAATATGATATTGTCAAGATGTGTGATACACTAAGCGGTCTGGAAAATGGACTGTCCTTCCTGACCGTGTCTGCCGCGTATTAATGTCTCCTTGTGGCTTAGCTTTAGATGTTACAAGCTGCGGGTCATCTTCAACGAGCTGTGGTGTCTGCTGCGTACACGGTGTCGAGTAAGAATCAGTAGATTGTTGTTTACAAGGTTTTTCGATGTACGCTGGTTTAAGACGATCTACGGCCGGTGGCCGAGTGGTTGGCACGTTTGCTTTCCAACCATTAGGTCACCGGTTCGAATCCGTGTAGGGGTGGGCGTCCTCGCGGTATACTCAGCCCGCGCGCGACTGGTGGTGGTCGCGCGGCAGCGAAGCGCCGTTACGGCGTATAAGCTGACACATTTCATTTTTCATTTTCATTTCACGGAAACCGCATCGACTTTGCCATTCTTGTTGATCATATGATGTTTTTCGGTTCTAGCGATCACTTCGAATGGTCCTTCGTACGGTGGTTGTAATGGCTTGCGGACTGCATCATTTCGTACCCACACGTGTGAACAAGTTTCGAGATCTTTCGGTATGTAACACTTATTGGAGTGTGCGCGTGTGGGGATAAAGTGCAGTTCACGCATAGATGAACGTAGCCGATGGACAAAGTTTGAAGGATCTATAGCGTCGATGTCGGTCGGTTGAACGAGATCAGCCGGGAGCTTTAACGTGGTACCGTATACCAGCTCCGCGGTGGAGCAACCTAAATCAGCTTTAGGTGTCGTTCGAAGACCTAATAAAACCAGCGGTAAGGTTTCTGTCCAACGGGTAGTGTCGGAACATGCCATCAAAGCTGTTTTGAGATGACGGTGGAAACGTTCGACTAACCCGTTCGATGATGGGTGGTACGTAGTTGTTCTTATACGCTTGGTTCCGAGAGTATTAGTTAATTCTCGAAAAAGCGTCGACTCGAATTGCGCACCGCGATCAGTTGTTATGGTGGATGGTACACCATAATGCGCGATCCAATGAGCCACAAAGTTATGTGCTACCGTCTCTGCAGAAATGTCTGCGATGGGTACTGCCACGGGCCAACGAGTGAAGCGATCGATGCAAGTCAATAGGTACTTGTATCCACTCGACGGCGGCAGTGGACCAACGGTGTCTATGTGCACATGACTGAAACGAGCATCGGGAACGGTGAAGTTGCCAAGTGGTGCCTGAGTATGCCGTTGCACTTTTGAACGTTGACATGGGAGGCAGTTTCTCACCATGATCTGCACGTCTATGTGTAGTGCTGGCCACACAAAGCGATCAGAAATAAGCTTGCGAGTTGCGCGGATGCCTGGATGTGATAGGCCGTGGATTGAATCGAAGATGATTCGCCGATAGTTTGGTGGTACGACAGGTCGTGGTTTTCCTGTCGAAAGATCACACATCAGAACATCCGAACTACCAGGCAGCGGAATGGCTTTCACTTGAAGATTGGTTTCTTGCAGTTGTTGAAGAAACTGATTATCCTGATGCTGCGCTGTGGCTAGTTCTTGGAAGTCAATGGAGGAATGTTCGAATAGAGCGTTGATTTCCGCCCTTGATAAGGCATCTGCTACGGCGTTATTCGCGCCGGACAAATGCCGTATGTCAGAAGTAAATTGGGAAATGTAATCTAATTGTCTAGTTTCTCATGGGGAAAGACGATCAGAAGCAGAACGCAGTACATACGTTAACGGCTTATGATCGGTAAATATCGTGAACGTACGTCCTTCCAAATAATGTCGGAAATGACGCACATTGAGGTAAATAGCTAAGAGTTCTCTGCTGAACGTGCTATAACGTCGTTCGGCAGGCTGCAGTTTCTTAGAGAAAAAGGCAATTGGATACAATTCACCTCTCTGTCTTTGTTGAAGCACACCACCTACAGCTGCATCTGACGCATCCACCGTTAACTGTAATGGGGCCTTAGGATCCAGATGCACAAGAAGAGTGGCAGTTGCTAGCTGTTGTTTTAGCTCGCTGAATGCGTGTTTAGCTGATTCCGTAAGGCTGAATGTTTTAGCATCTAATTTGAGTAGTTCGGTAAGTGGCTGGGCTAACTCTGAACAGTGCGGGATGAATCTTCGGTAGAAGTTAACCATGCCAACGAACCGGCGTAACTTTTTGATGGAATTAGGTATGGGATACTCAGTGATGGCTGTCACTCTGTCCGGTGGGGGTGCAATTCCAGCGGAGGAAACACGGTGACCAAGAAAGTCTACCGTATCAACTCCTAACTGACTCTTGGCGGCGTTGATAACTACCCCAAAATGCGCAAATCGTTCGAAAAGCTGTCGCAGATGACGCAAATGTTCGTCATGATTTCGACTTGCAACTAAGACATCGTCGATGTAGACGAAAACGAAGTCCAGCTCGCGAATGACCTGGTCTATAAAACGTTGAAACGTCTGAGCTGCATTACGAAGACCAAATGGCATTCGCAAGAACTCAAATAAGCCAAAGGGAGTAGTGACGGCAGTTTTAGGTACATCTTGAGGATGAATGGGAATTTGGTGGTATGCCCGTACTAAATCTATCTTGCTGAACACTTTCTTTCCGTACAGCGAGGATGAGAAATCCTGGAGATGCGGAATGGGGTATCTGTCTGGGACGGTGATGGCGTTCAGTCCCCTATAATCCCCACATGGTCTCCAGTCTCCAGGTTTATTCTTCGGGACCATATGTAGGGGCGATGCCCACATACTGCTGAATGGACGTATTATGCCCAATTGTAACATATGATCGAACTCGGCCTTCGCTACGGAAAGTTTATCTGGCGCTAGTCGCCGAGGACGATGAAATACTGGACTGCCTGCTGTCGTTATCCTATGAACGATCTCATGTTTAATATCACCAAGATGATATCCGGGCTTCGTTATGCTGTCAAATTCGCGCAACAGATCCAAATACATCGAAGAAGCTTGAGGCGGGACAAGCTGCGGACTCATAAACATTACGGAGCTCTTAAAACCAGCGTGTGATAGTTGCGTTAGGCCATCTATGATCTGACAGCGATTAGGATCTACGACAATACCATAGTGCTGAAAAAAGTCAAGGCCTAATATTGCAGTAGGCTGGCTTGCCGAACAACCTCCTCGTGGTGCCAGCTGGGTGGTTCGGGGTTTTCCCGTTCCAGCAAATGGTTCGGCGGCAGTGTTCCAGGACGTGGTGGGTTTTCGCCTGGCAAGCGTTCTCCCTATAAAAAGCCACATATGTCCGTTTAACAACACTGTGACGTGGCGGAAGTGACTCGCCACTAAATAAAGTCACTGCCCCTTGCTTCATCCTGGCGAAGCATTGTATTCCAGCAAGTTGATGCTGTAATTTCGGGGAGCATTGAGCCCCTGTTTGGCAAAGGAACAAACGAAAGGCGTATGAACTGATCAATCAGTCACCGGCTCCCAATGGGCGCGATTCCCTGAATTCGCTCCGCTGCCTTGCGGACAGGCTATTCAGCCAAAGGCTCGGGGTGGTGTCCCCTAAGTCAACACCCTACTTCGGCTTGGGCTACCGGGTAGTATTTCGCCCTCTGACGAAACCGTGGACATTGTTGTGTTGTGTTGTGTTTTCTTTTACTATTTCTTTACCTTGTTTTGAGTTCCATGGTTTCCGCGTGGTGCCAGCTGGGTGGTTCGGGATTTTCCCGTTCCAGCAAATGGTTCGGCGGCAGTGTTCCAGGACGTGGTGGGTTTTCGCCTGGCAAGCGTTCTCCCTATAAAAAGCCACATATGTCCGTTTAACAACACTGTGACGTGGCGGACGTGACTCGCCACTAAATAAAGTCACTGCCCCTTGCTTCATCCTGGCGAAGCATTGTATTCCAGCAAGTTGATGCTGTAATTTCGGGGAGCATTGGGCCCCTGTTTGGCAAAGGAACAAACGAAAGGCGTATGAACTGATCAATCAGTCACCGGCTCCCAATGGGCGCGATTCCCTGAATTCGCTCCGCTGCCTTGCGGACAGGCTATTCAGCCAAAGGCTCGGGGTGGTGTCCCCTAAGTCGACACCCTACTTCGGCTTGGGCAACCGGGTAGTATTTCGCCCTCTGACGAAACAGTGGACATTGTTGTGTTGTGTTGTGTTTTCTTTTACTATTTCTGTACCTTGTTTTGAGTTCCATGGTTTCCGATGGTGCAATGTCTATTCATAGACTGTCGCAAATATATATATATATATATATATATATATATATTGCAGTAGGCACTTTAGTTATGATGAAAATCCAAGGAAAGGATCTACGGAGACCGAGATTTAGAGTGATAGAACGTTCTCCATAGGATCGGATTTGTGTGCCGTTAACTGCTTGGAGGCTGTATATCGAGCAGTGTTTCAGGTCTTCTGGACGCGGGGGAACTACACTGACTTGGGCACCCGTGTCTACGAGGAATCGCATGCCGAATGTTACGTCCCGCAAGTAGAATAGGCGACTTGGCTCGCATATGCCAGCTTGCGTCGTCGCCATTACGTGCTGGCGTGGTCGTTTCCCGAATAGGAAAACCGACACGGTTTCACGCACTTCTTCGCCTTGTTGCGGAACCTACGGTGGTACCAGCATATGCCACGGAGACTACTAACACTCCGAGTACGCCGTTGATTAGATCGGGAGTTGCTCCTTCGTCTGGTGATGGTAATGGAAGCCAGTTGTTGTTGCAAGGAGCGTACGGCTTTAACGAGTTCGTCGTCAGGTGTACGAGGTGATAAGTTTGAGATCGTTGGCGTTTGTATCTCCATTATCTTATCAGCCAGAAGAGCTAAATCTTTTAGTTCGGTATCCTGGTGGGCGTTAGCCAGTATCTGTTGTACATGTACAGGGAGCCGTTGCATAAATAGCTGCTTAAAAATGGGATTCTCTGGAGGGTTTTCACCAAAGCTTGCATGGCTCGTAATAGTTGCGTAGGAGTGCGATCGCCTAACTGCTCTTCATTAAGTAGACGCTGCACTCTTTTACGCTCACTAAGGCTAAGCTCACGGATTAACAAGTCTCTTAACTGTTGGTATGTACTGCTCGTTTTTATGATATCCTGCGCCAGAAGCAACATCTCAGGTGGGAGTCGGGAAATAACGTGATGAACCTTTAAGGCATCCTTATGTATGCGATTGATTTCAAAAAATGACTCGGCCTGCATAAACCATAACTGGGGATACTGTATCCAAAATGTTGGTAAACAACTAGTAGATACGGTGTTAATTTCCCCTGGTTGCTGGTCAGTCATATTAGCATACATGAAATGGTGGAATTATGACGAAATTGGATACGACTCACCGGATGATGTTTGCTGAGTCGAAATATCCGAACTCACGTCGGGTCAACCACTTGTCGGGGTTCCCACTTGTCGGGGTCACCACTTGTTGGGGTTCCACTTGTTGGATTTCGGTAACGCCTTTTGGTTGCGGAGTTCCTGGTTTAATAACCCGTCATTCTCGGATGCCAAAAGGGATTGAATACGTGTATTCCCATAAATGTATATTTGGAGCTCCCAGATGTTATACACGAGGCAGTCTAGAGTCAGCCGGCTATTCAAAAAGGAAAACTGATCGATGTATGAAGCGTTTGAAAGAATAGTCGATACAGCTGGCAATATTATCAGCTGACCGGAAGGTTATGTGAGGAAAGCTGAAAGAAACACTGCAAGCCTATCAAGAAGCACTGTATACCGAACTTCCGATGTTTTGTCCTAATGACACTGAACTTCAGTGGAATAGGATCTCGGCCGCCATGCTTGACGCAGGAGCATCTGCTTGTGGCACTATCAATCGTCACCGCACCGGTCACTGGATATCCGAGAGGTCGGTGAACCTGTTGGAATCAAGAAGACACCTCCCGGCTGGCTATAAACACAATGTGACTAGACGGGCTATTAGGCGTGAACTAAAGTAGAGCCTGCGTACTGACAAGGAAGCCTGGTGGACCAGTGGCGCTCAAGAAATGGACGAGGCAGGAGCAGTAGGCAATTACCGCAAGCTCTTCCAGCTTATCCGCACAACTGGTCCCAGAAAACCAGGCGTCAGTGACACAATCAGAGACAGCGCGGGTGCGCAGATACACAATAAGGAATCCCGTATGACTCGTTGGGCGGAACACTTTCAAGATCAGTTCAGCTGGCGCCATGCTCCCGGACCTCTTCCTACTCAGGTGATGCAGGACGAACCATGCAGGGTTAGTTTAGAGCCTCCATCACAGGCCGAGGTCCGAAATGCGATTACAGCCCTCATTCGTTTTCGTGCGGCTGGCCCGGATTCTCTCCCACC